TAGATTATCTAGCCGACCTTTACATTAGGGACATAGTGAGGTTGCACGGGGTCCCTGTAACGATTGACTGTAAATTTTGTATAGACTGTACTGTTTGTATATGTGAATGCATGAAAAATCTTTTTGGCATACAGACTGACACAGCTCAATGGACATTATTCATTTACTGTATTGGCTTCCGCCAGGCCCTGTACTCTATTTTACTGCATTACTGTTCTGCAGGCCTTTGGTAATCTTGGATTACTGGCCGGTTACGGTGCTAAACCCATAGGGCCGGGTTTGGGTCGTGACAAAATACCATAAAAAATTATATTTTATTGATAAATGATGCAAGGAAAATGAGATATAAATAGATCAGGCTGAGGCACAGATATCTCGTTTTCTTTAAGGAGTTCAAGCCCACTGTGGTAGAAAGAATCCAAATACCGATGCAGCAGTCACAAAACTATGACTTGTCCCCTCCAGGATACAACAGCCTGACCACTTGTCATATGGTTCAGGCCAACTCTGCACAAGATGGTGAATCCAAAACTTCACCAAGAAAAACACCATTCTTTGCTAGTAATCTCTCTTGTATAGAAAATAGTTAGTTTGCGTTGGTATAGAAAAGAGTAGATGAGATGGATTATTTATAGGCCACTAGGACCTTACAAGTTACACCAAAAATAAAGATGATCATTAAACTAGATAAAATGGAGTAACTCCAAAAACTAACTCACCACCAAGTTCATGAATTCTAATTACTCTCAATTCATGAATAAGATACGAGGTTACCAAAGTAATGAAAATCTATTCATGAACAAGATAAGAGATTACCAAAGTAATGAAACTCCATTCATAAACAAGATATATCAATAAATAAATAAAAGATATTAAAATGGACCAACAAGAATATATCATTTAAACTTATGCATACCCTCATATCACTACTCTGTAAAAATTATTATAACATTTAAAGTGTTTTTTGATCAACAACATTTAGCCTCCGTTTGGGAAGTGGGTTGACTTTTTGGTTTTTTGACTTTTTTGGCTATTTTAGTCTGGGCTAAAAAGTTTGGTTTGGGAAGGGCTATTTGATTTTTTGGTTTTTTTGACTTTTTTTGTGAGAGAAGAGTGTAATGATTATGGGTTGGATGTGATGTTTTGTTTGTTATGACTAAAATAGCTTATTTTGTTTTTTGTGGCTAAAATAGCCAAAAAAACCCAACCAACTTCTTCCCAAACGGTGCCTTAAAGTTATTAGAGAATTATCAAAGACTTACACGAACTAGTTTGAAAATGGCCTTGATTGGCCTTAATGCTTCAATTAAAAAGATTGAGCGTCTATCGATTAATACAAAGTCTTATATACTTCAAAAAGGTAGAGAATGAGTTGGCTTGGAGTTAAAAATAGTTAAAATATTTATGAAATTAGGATTTGAAAAGGTTATAAATGAGAATATATTTAAAGTTAAGAAAGGTGATTAAAGTCAAGGGCCTAATTAGAAATAATGTGCGTCGGAAAAAAGAAAGAAAAAAAGAAAACAGTTTCCAAAATTGGAAATTAGGGGGATTAGGGGGCAACTTTTTAGGGATACAAATCATTTCCCGAGTTAAAAATAGTTAAAATATTTATGAAATTAGGATTTGAAAAGGTTATAAATGAGAATATATTTAAAGTTAAGAAAGGTGATTAAAGTCAAGGGCCTAATTATAAATAATGTGCGTCGATAAGAAATCTCAATTTTTTTTAGAAATTATTTTACAAATAAAATTTTTTAAAAATTGTTAAGAATATTTATAATTCTCAAAAAAATTAGAAAATAAATCATTGTAATTATCACAAATTTTGGGAAGGTCCTTTTAATTTACAAAAATAAAATAAAGGGCGAGTTACATTGACAGTCCCTATAGTTTGGGATTCGTGTCAGTTGGTCCCTGACTTTTCAATTGTGACATATTTGACCATAAATTTTGAATGTTAATCCAAATAAGGACAATTGAAGATATCATTACTTAATTTCAAGGGCAAAATTGTCAATTTGATAAAATATAAACTAATTTGACAAAAATAAATGTCAAAAAAATATTTTAAAATTTTTAAAAATTATTTCCACTCATCAAAGATAAAATCATGTAAAATTGATAATTTTTTTACACATTTATTTATTTATTTATTTTACAAAATTGATTTTTATTATGTGTTTGGATGATGACCATGAAATGAGTGGTTATTAAGATTATAATGTATAATCGATATATTTAATATATGAATGTTTTTAGTTTTGGATTTTTGATTTAATTGATTGGTTTAATAATGATATTAAAGTTGTCGTCATATTTGACTTTTGAAAAAATAGAAACTAATTTAATAAAAATGAAAACTACTAATTACATGATCATCATCCAAACACATAGTAAAAATTAAGTTGATATAAATAAATATATAAATGTCTAAAAGATTTATCAATTTTACATAATTTTATTTTTAGTGGGTAGAAATAATTTTTAAATATTTAAAAATATTTTTTGACATTTATTTTTATCAAATTAGTTTATATTTTATCAAATTGATGATTTCATTCTTGAAATTAAGCAATAATATATTTCATTGTCCTTATTTAAAATAAGATTTAAAATTCTAGATCAAATATACTCCCTCCGTCTCAAAATATTAGTCCCTTATTCCATTTTTCATTGTCCCAAAATATTAGTCCCTCTTCAAAAATCAAGTACAAAAATAATATAAATTTCCTATTTTGTCCTTCTTTTAAATTAATAAACAATATAAAAAGTACAATTATGATATTGATATTCTTAAAAAATATACTATCAAAAGGATAATTTTGAAAAATTAATTTTTTTTAAATACAATAATTATACTATCAAAAAAAATTAAATTCCCAAAAAAAAATCATTATTTTGGGACGAAGGGAGTATCATAATTTAAAAATCAAGAATGAAGTCCCAAATATATGACTGTAAGTGTAATTTGCCATAAAATAAAAATTGAAGTCCCACGGCATACATCCGTGTTCCGGACATCCGGTGATCACACGCCATTCCCCGCAAAATCAATTCTGATAAATACATCCCAACCGTCCGCTATGCGTACCAACTGTCTGCATCCGTGAAAAGCTCAATCTGCTCTCCTCCTCAAATCTCCATCTGATAATCACTCACTCTAATCGCCGATACATCACAGCTCAGTCGATGTTATGGTAAGCAATCAATCCCTATACCTCTCCTCTTCCACTTCTATCTAGGGATTTCGATTTATCATCCGAAATGTTATCTTGTTTTCTAATTCTCTATATTCTATAACCTGTGTGATTGTGAATTTTTTGTTTCCGATTGAATTGACGATCGATTTTGAAAAAATTATCTTTGTTACAGATCTAATCCACTAAATTGAGCTGTTAGGGTTAGAAAACCATTTGTAGTTTAGTTTAGGCTATAAATTATAATCAATTGAAATCATCTATACCTCATCTGAAACAATACGATGATTTTGTTTCGCATTATTTTCCTTGATTTTCTGCGGAAAAATGTGGAAAAGAAGGAATTTTGATCTCTATGTAACATGAATAGTGGAAATTTTGGTGGTTTAGGATATGAATGATTGATTTCTAGAGAGATTGTTATTTGCAAATCCACTAAATCTTCAGTGTCATAAAAATATGTAAACTTTGACCTAATCTTTATTATTCTCATTGTCTTGAAACGTTGAGGTGCGTATAGTGATGAATTTGGGTTTTGAGGACTACATAACGTTTTAGAATTATTCAAGGATGATTGAGATTTGAGAAAATAAACAAGAGAAACTCATGTTGCCACTAGAGAGCAGAGAGTTGAATTGGTTTTATTTTATTTCATGTAAAACTGAATATTAACTATGAAACATCAATTATTTTTATTATTATTTGTAGTGTGTAATTTTAAGATGTAATAGTTTTGTCAAATAGCAAATTTTTACGAACACACAAAAAAGAAGCTAAAATTTGCTATATATTATGTGAAGGCATCATTATTAATAAATAATTCTCTCTTTGTGACGTAGGGAAAAGTGGACCCTCTTACCTACAGCCCTTCACCTTTTCATTTGAGTTATTCTCACCCAAACTCCCATCTTCCTGTACTCGTTCTGTCTCTCTCTCTTCTTTTGTACTCTCGAGTTGTACTAATGAAAATTGGAGGGTCATTAGGCCTTATGCAGTGAAGTCTGAAGACCAATAACTGTACTAGCGAAGAAGAATGCATGGTCTGTGTTAAGGGTAGTTTTGGAAGAAGGGGAATGCCATACTTAACATGGATTGAGATAGCATACACATGGAATATTATCTCAAAAAGGAGTAAAATAGTGAAACAGGTTCACGTAACCAACCCCAAATAGTTGTGGCAATGTTTTGTGAAGTTGAGTTATTTTTATTATTAATACCTATGATGTGAAATAGTGCTGTTCTATAGTTTACAGATGAAGATCGAGGAATTTTCTAGATTTCCTTAGGTCCATGCTTATTACATGAACTGATGAATATTGGCAAAATTTAGACTGATCAACTGGGTCAATTGTACCCGTGTCTAAAAAAATCTTTAAAAAGTTTATTGCCAGTTGCATTTTGGCCTTGTATTATTTGACCATTTTACCTTGGATCCTTGGCAACCGCTACAGCCATTGTGACATGACAGACTAGGTTCTTTGTTGGTTTTGTTAGTTTCTTTATTTGGTACCTCCTGGAGCTAGAGAGTCCTTAACATCTATTTGCATTGCCCCTTGAGGGCTTGAATTGAGTTGTATTGTATATTTTTTCTTTTGCTAATAAAATGCTTATTTACCCACAAAAAAAGAAAAAGAAAAGAAGACATAGACTCTGATATTAGTACAACTTTCCATCAAGTTTGCTGTCTGTAAGGATGTCCTAACTGGTATATTACAAACAATAGTAGTAATGGATATATAATGCTTAAGGATGTCCTAACGTGTGCTGTTTTCTTTCTTTACTTGCCAATTTGTCCATCCT